ATGTGTGTGTGTGTAAGTGTGTGTGTGTAAGTGTGTGTGTGTAAGTGTGTGTGTGTAAGTGTGTGTGTGTAAGTGTGTGTGTGTAAGTGTGTGTGCATGTGTAAGTGTGTGTGTGTAAGTGTGTGTGTGTAAGTGTGTGTGTGTGCGTAGTGTGTGTGTAGTGTGTGTGCGTAGTGTGTGTGTAGTGTGTGTGTGTTTGATGTGAAATGATAAATGTTGTTTTAGTAGTTAGTGTGTTAGAATGTTAGTGTTTTATTAGTAGTAGTTACTAGAATAACGCTAGCAAGAAAAAGCGCCACTTACACTAGATCGGGAGTCCAATAGTCTCTCTCTCTCACTTCTGCAGGAGGTGAGGCTGCATATCTTACCAAACTACAGGCCATCAGTGCGGGTCCACTCAACGCTCCATAATATCAGCTCCAATCCTCTTCAGTGCTGCTGCTGCCTTCGCCGTTTTGTATGACACCTGTAAACATACGATCTAACCCGTGTTAATTACCGTTACCCGTACAACTGTCATAAAAGCGCTCCGGGCCCCAGCTTATATAGCCTTCAGCCCAGCGTGGTTTTGCACACGAATTGTGCACGTGGTCAAGGGCTGAAACTTCTGACCTCCACGCCAGCAAAGGTGACTCCTATAAATGTCAAGGTGGCGGCAAGCTTCATGTGCACGTGGACACGCCGTTAGGGGGAAGCTCAGTGAATCTCCCCAAGGTCACCACGCGTGTGTAGGCTGAAGCTGCCAACCTGGACATCCGCAATGCTAACTACTGGACGTGCCGAGGCTGCGTCAAGCTTTGCGCACACACAGTTGTATGATGTTATCAGGAGCGTATAATATCTCTATATTATACACTCGTGATGAAATGTATATATTCCCCCTCAGACGTGTGTATAGGTGTGCAGACATCACGACAGAACCCCAGAATCGTTATACATTGAAGGGTACCTTCATTATACTAGTCATCGACTGATTGCCGTAAGAGTCAATGAGAGACACAGTGCAGGGACGACTACAGATGACCGCTGCTTCCTTCTTCTCCTTCTTCTCCTCCTCCGCTCTCACCGCCGCTGCAGATGCTGCCAGTGGTGCTGTTGTTGCTGCTGCTGCTGCTGGTGGTGGTTGTGGTGCTGCTGCTGTTGCTGCTGTTACTGCTGTTACTGCTGCTGCTGTTGCTGCTGCTGCTGTTGCTGCTGCTGTTGTTGTTGCTGCTGCTGCTGCTGCTATTTCTGCTACTGCTACTGTTACTGCTACTGCTACTGTTACTGCTACTGCTGTTGCTGCTGTTACTGCTGCTGCTATTACTGCTGTTGTTGCTGCTGCTGCTGCTATTGCTGCTACTGCTACTGTTACTGCTGCTGCTGCTACTACTGCTACTGTTACTGCTGCTGCTGCTGCTACTACTGCTACTGTTTCTGCTGCTGCTGCTGCTGCTACTGTTACTGCTGCTGCTGCTGCTACTGCTGCTGTTTCTGCTGCTGCGCTGTTGCTGTTGCTGCCGCCACCGGTGGTGGTGGTGGTGGTGGTGGTGGTGGTGGTGGGTCTTGTCTGCGTGTAGGCAGATGCCCGTCCCCGTCTCCCGCCAAGCCGGCTGCTGTCTAAGAGCCTACACGTGCCGCCAACAAGAAAATCACAG